CAGAGCACTCTAGCCTGGGAAGCAGAGTGAGAGAGACTCTGTCTCCAAAAAAATAAATAAATAAAAAATAAAAACTGTTGGTTCTGAATCTTGCCCCCAAAAGAACACATGACAGCCAAATAAATAAATAAAGCTATCATTATTAATCAACTCCTAAGACCCAAGCACTCTTTATTCATCTCTAATCCTTACAGCAACAACAAAACTAGAAATTATTGTTTCCAGTTTATACATAATGAAATGGAAGCTTACAAGGATAAAAAACTTTCCTAAGGTCACAAAGCCAATAATAAACAAACAGGTACAAGAACCCATGTTTATCCAAATTCAAGAATGTGTTCTATGTACTATGTCATTTGCCTATGTGCTCAGTACAAGGACTACCTTAGAAAGTATGTGGTGCACAGATACAACATTAAAATTGTGATCAAAAATAATTCTCTTCAACCAAGCCATCCTTCCAAGCAATGAAACAAAATGTTTTTGTAGCTAACTGCCTCTGTGGTTTCCTGCCAGTGGCTCTCTTTTTCATATGTTGCCTGAGCTCCAGAGTTTTCTATAATCATTAAGCATAAAGCAGGATTTACAATGAGCCTGGGTCACCCTCATTTATACAAATTCCACCCAAAGACAGCTTTCTCCTATGTTTATGCCTTCCCTGTGCATCTTACCTTCTCTTACATTTCTCCTTTGGGATAATGTGATTTTTTCATAGGCAGATAGAACTCAGAAGGTGTGTGATTCTTGCAGGCTCCATCCAACTTGAGGAGAATGGAAAGCTATTAAGCAGAATGCAGCATTAGTTTTATATTAATGACATGCCTTAGTGTTAATGACACATTAAAGAGTATTTTCTGAGATCATGAAAATGACAAATGTTTGCTATGGAATATTCTTACATGAATGAGAAGGGGGGTTTCAAGCTCCTACAAACATGATACATGTAGTTATCTAAAAGGTGTTGCTTTTGCCTACTGATCTCGGATTTTTCCTAAGTACTTAAGAGTGTGCAATGGTTTCAGTCTATAAGGAGAGAAGTGACACTATTTTGCTGTGAGTGGTTAATAATGGTTCTAAGATAAACCCATTAGTGCTGTCTCCACAGAGTGTGGAGTGCATCAGAGCTGAAGGTCTGTTCACATTTATTCAAATGTCAGCAGAATAGAAAGGGATTGAGGTTTCCATAGAAACCACTCATGATTTCAGGTGTTTCTCGGGCAGCTTGTTACATTAACTGTTGGGAGAAAGGAATTTATCCTGACTTACATTCATGCTACCCTCCTCCCTTGTTAGAAGTTGGCTGGTGGAGTTACCACATCCTCCTTTGTTTTATGGAATTTTTTGGCAGTCCCTCTTGCAGACTTTCCCCTCCAGCTGAGAAAGAAGAATGAGCCACTTCTAACCCTCATAAATCCCTCTGCATTCATGGTAGCTGTTCAGACGGCATTTCTTCTCTTTTGGCCAGAAAGGAACTTCTCTTACCTAAGAATTTACGTAACACATTTTCTTATTCAGGATTTACGTTATCTCTATGAAATGTCACAACATAAGAACTTAAGGACAATTGCAATGACTTTTTGAACCCAATTAACAGTAACAACAATAACAAAAGGATTTCATGGGATCAGTAAAATTTTCAGGTGCAAAACGCAAGATTAATGATAATCAAATCTCACAATATAGACATTAGCTATTTAATTGCCTTAAGGAATAGTGTCCTGTCCTATAGTATAGAAAGAAAAGTTAAAAGGGAAGGGGAAAGTCAACAATTCGACCCAGAAAGAATACAATGACTCAGATGCATTACTAAATGCCGTGCTTTCCTGTAAGCTAAGTCAGTACAGTAAAAGTTCATAGCGCACTACAGTGGTATGATTATTAAAGAAAAGCCAACACAAAATAAAAATCATACAAACAAACAACAAAATAGGCCTTGAAATACCTGAGTGAAGCCTAAAGTATCTGAAATAAAAAGGAATGAGCGCTGATAGCACAATTTACATCTCACCTTGGCCAGATAGGATCTTGAATAAATCTCTTAATCATGATGCATGTCAGTTGTCTTATGTATAAAATGAGACAATAATTCCGACAGCCAGGGTGGTTGTAAGAATCAGAGATACCGACATGGGTTCTTCTTATCAGCGTACTCAATATCTAAACCTCTCCGGTCAAAGGCTTGTGCAGGAAAGGAAAAGTCTTCATATCGTGGAAATACCACTGCAGAACTAATTTATTTATAAAATTGGTATCCATCCAAACGTTTTCCCAAGAAGAGCCCTAGCATCATTCTCAGATGTTTCAAAATCTTGGCAATCTTCAGCTAATTAAATGAAGTTTACAATACCTCATGTAATTATAGTGCTCACTGATAACCCAGTGATAATACATACCTTGATAAGCTATAGGATTTTGAGAAGAATATACAAGCAAAGATGACGAACTATAGAGACAGCATAGGAAGACCAGTGCCAGACTGCACCGACTTAGATATTAGATCCATCAGATACCAGATGTATAATTGTGAGCAGATATCTTTACTGTGCCTTGGTTTCTCCACCTACAAAATGAAATCATAATGCTACCTACTGCTTGGCAATGCTTGGTAAGTCATGATAAATGCATGAATGTGTGTTAAGTAAAAATAAAAACAAACAAATTGATTCCACAGAAAAGCAAACGAACAATGAAGTACCATGTTTAAAAACTGAAGAAAACCAACAGGGTCCGTGACAGTATACAAACAACAATTGATAATGATTTGAATTGTCATAACGTTTAGAGGCATATGTGAAAATAGTCCTGGCGTATTTTCACACACACACACACACACACACACACACACACATGACGAGGTTTGTTACGGGGCTGCAAAGGTGGAATGTAGGCTGTGGTAGCCAGTCTCCAAGATGGCCCCTGGCCAGCCCTGCCTTGGTGTAATCCCCACTTCCCACATTGTATAAGGCTGGGTCTGTGGAACCAACTGCAGAAAGGATGATATGTTTGAAGCCTTGGGTTCTAAAAGACACTTCCTTTGCTAACAAAGGAAAGTTTTTTTGCCTTTCTTAAAATGCATTTTCTTGGCATCATCCATTTATGATGGATATACACAAATGGACTCTTGTGTCTTTCCCCAATATCCAGAACATTATTTTTATTTTATAAGATTAGTATTATTATTACCAATTTTACATCAGAGAATATGGCAACTCACTGTATTTAAGTGAAAGCAAAAGACATAAATCAGATGTTGATCCTAAAAATCTTAAGAGGGCTATGATATGAATTTTGAAGACATCTGGAAGTCTTGTTTAGAATAGATGAAAATAGAAAGGCCCGGGACAGCCAACTTCATAGATGTATGATCTATATACGAGTCAGTGCTCAGAAAGGTCCCTTTATGAAGAAGGGGCCTTCATTTCCACTTTACATACATTTTGTAAATTTTGCTCTGTAAATTTTGTGCCCTGCTCTGAGGCTAGGAGAAGACGATAGTACTCAGCTTCTACTCACTGAACAAGGATCTAAACAGGACAAGCAGATAGAATTTCCTCCAAGGCAGACACCCCAGCCCTTTTTCCATTTTATTCTGGCATGGAAGGAACTGGAGAAACAGCAACAGTGGGCCACTTATCCACTACTCCAAATGTGGCTTGGGCGACCACCTGGAAGCTCCATAGAAAAGCAGAGTCAGGACCCACCCTAGATCTCCTGGATCTGATTTTGCATTTCCTGTGCACATTCAATTCTGAGCAACAGCTGTGCTGCTCCAGAAGTCATCCATGACACCTGTGACAACGGACATTTGAAGCTGCCCTGTCTCCTTACAGGAGAGTTTTTCCTCATCTTCCACCAGAAAGCCCTTAACCTGAGACGCTGCCAGATTGAGGTACTGATTTGAACATTACTTTTTTTCCTTGTGCAGTCCATTCTCTAAGACTGAGTTAATGTGAAGTGAAATGGTTTGAAAAATAAAAAATAAAAGCAAGGTGAAGAATCTGCACAGAACAGGTTATTGTGAACTAAGCTGAACTAAGGTGGAAAGCCATGTGATGATAATATAACAGAAAAAAAAAAAAGCCAGCTACCTTAAAAATAAAACAAATAACTAACATCGAGCACTTAAAACATGCCAGACTTCTTACAAAGTGTTTTAAGTGAATTATTTCATTTAAATTTCATCACAAACTTAAGAAGTAAATGCTATCTCTAACTTCCTTTGCAAATGGAGGAACAGGCCTCATGAGTTTTAAAATGGCTATGATATAATAGATCAAGAAATCGTTCATTGGCCTGCAAAATGGCACAGGCCTGTAGTCTTAGCACTCTGGGAGGCCTTCGTGGGTGGAAGGCCGGAGATCAGCAGACCAGCCTGAGAAAGAGGGAGAGTCCATGTCTCTACTAAAAACAGGAAAACTAGCTGGGCATTGCTGCCACCGCCCTTGGGAGGCTCAGGCAAGAGGACTGCTCAATCCCAGAAGTTTGAGGTTGCTGTGAACTATGACGCCATGACACTCTATCCAGGGTGACAGAGGGAGACTCCGTCAAAAAAAAAAAAAAAAGAAATTGTGTATTAATTTCACAACTATACATTTTCGGTACATATTTCTAAACGCCTACTGAATGAAGGCTTCCATGCAAATTGAGATACTTTATTAACTGGACCTTGAACATGAGGGAGCATGGCAGAAAGACAAAAAAGAT